CTAAAACGGCTGGATTAAAAGAGTGACCGGTTCGTTCATTTCTCTTGCGTAATTCGTCTACGGATGGTCTTTGGTCCAATGTCAAGGAGAGTTGAATAAACCCGAAAGTACCGGGAGAGGTGACTACTTTCATCTCTGAAGGACGCTCGTTCAACAAGTCGTTATACCCATTAACTTCTATGCCTTTTCTATTTCTGAACGCTTGAAGATATGCTCAATCATCATAACTCGGTGACATGTTAGATGTATGCAGAGATAACGAGTATTTACTAATCGTAAATTGGCTAATGATTATGTAGTTAGAACAACTTCTCGCTTTGTACATTTGGCAATCTCTTAAGTAAAAACTTCTCTATATGCATGTCTGCTAAAGAACTCGTGCGTGTTTTATAAATTAACCGGCAGACGTTTCTGCAACTTTCGCTGATCTAAGAGGAAGACTGTACCGTGTTAGATTACAACTTGCCGTTTTATTTCATCAAAGACATTGGAAACGTGACTTCAAAAGCATAACAAGTTTCTCCATCTACGCAGTCGTATTTGTAGTAAGGTCACTGCAATTATTATTGATCTCACGCATCGCAATCTTCTCGACGAAAAAGCTGAATCGTGTAATTAACTTCGAGTCAACCTACCGTCAGTGAAGTAAACCTCCGATGCACCTCAATTTTATCCAGTTCTCGGACTCGAGTGTATAATCAGAAAATATTATAGTAGAGTCCAAATTCCTTTCAAACAGTCACTACACTTTCAAAATCACTTATACACATGTAACTTATCAGTCTCCTTCAACCCACGTAGTTGCACAACGATCGAAACCAACGAGCGACTGTCGGCGTACACATTTTGCAAACACTGGTAGCACGATCAACAGGTAGCAATCGTTAGGCCGGAAATCGCAGAAAAGAACCAGAACGATCAACGACTCGTCGATAAAACCACACAATACAAGTTGGCGGGAAAAGTTCTCGGTCACCTAATCAGCAGACACCGACAAGACGACTGCGAACTCGCGTCGAATCCGCTCTGCAACCACCTTTCCAGCCGGCCTCGCGGCATTTCTCCATGCTGCCCAACAGCGATATTTCGCAATACTTCCCGTTCGTGACCTGAGTAACGATCACCGACAATCGTCTCGTGTAAACAGCCCAGAGATACGCACTAGCTCGACGATGATAAGAAAACGGCTGCTGCTGTGGAGCTCGCGAGACGCGCCGTGCGAGTGATCGCTCGTCTCCGCCACGACCAATCGCACGTTCATCGCTGCCACCTCCGTGACCATCCTGCGAGAATGTCGAGGACGTTGCGCGTTCAAGGTCGCAGGCACATTGCCTTTCGTCAGCGCTGCTCGGAACAAGGCAGTCAGGGAAACTCCGATCGTTGTGAACATTTTTTGATTCCCTGTAATACGATGCGAGGTAGTTCCACGCGTGGTAATTCAGTGCATGGTAATTCGGCGCGTGGTAATTCTATGCGTGGTAATTGTACGCGTGGTAGTCCAACACGTGGCAATTCCAGCGAGTGATAATTCGGTGCGTGGTAATTCCAACGCGTAGTAATTCCACGCGTGGTAATTCGGCGCGTGGTGATTCGA